GCTCCCCAGCTAAAATGAGGTCATCTTGTAGCTTAAATCTTCAGCTCAATCCAGCTATGAGCTCACGGGCCTCCGGATAACTTTTCACCAATGGGTCCTTATGCTCTTCTAAATGTTCCTATGTGAGTTTCCTTGTTGTTACATGCTCCATTTAGCTCCAATGTAGCTCCCAACTGTTGGCCGAATATGCCTACATGCATAACATAAGGAAATAAACTAAGTATATAAACTTATATAATGTGTATATTATAAGAATGTGAATATAGTATATAATAATAACTTATATCTCATATATTAATGGATAAGTTATTATCATAATAACTATAGATATATATATATATATATATATATATATATATATGATAATAATTATATTATAACATATGAAATAAGCATATTTATGTATAAAGTTAGAAAGTTTCTTCCCTTGTAAGGTTGGAATAGACATTGTAAATATGATGTTGAATTGGATCACATCAGTTAGTCTATGTACAATCCCATCTCGAGCTAGCAGCGATTAAATGCTTCTAAATTCACCACCCCAGTCTGTTTGTAGTGCTTTGATCGAACTGCCAATTTGATTAGCTACTAGTTTTTGAAATAACTGAAATGCTATGTATGTTTCATCCTTATGTTTCAACAAGTAGATCCAAGTGTGGCGAGTAAAAGCATATACAAAGGAGATGTAAAATTAAAGCCATTGGAAGATACATGTGGTGGCCCTATAAATCCGAGTACACAAGTTCAAATGAAGAAGATACCACTGAATTTGATTCATTAAAGGGTAATTTATGACTTTTTCCCAAATGTCATGCAACACATTCTCTATTTAAATTAGATTTGACTTTAAATCCTAGTTCAGAGGCTAGATTTGCTAAAGTTTCAACAGCTGGATGACCAAGACGCTGATGCCAAAGTTCTTCCATTGAAGTCGATCCAACGCAGGTGTATGCTTGTGCAACAGGACTGCTGAGGGTTTATTATTCATATCAAAAAAGTATAGGTCATCACTTTCTTCAACTTGAAGTAGCAACTTTCCAGTGGCTTCATCTCGAATGCAGCATCGATTGGTATGAAACTCAATAAAAACGTCATTATCCCTAGCAAGCTTGGAAACCGAAAGAAAATTCTTGGTTATTTGTGGAACATGCAATAATTCATGCAAGACAAGTACTCTTGAAGCGGTATTTACATGAGCATCATCGACCGAAACAACATCTAGAGGCATACCATTCCTAATTAAAAGTTTACATGGGCCACGATATTCAGAAGCATTTAGCAATGTATTAGCATCTGCTGTAACGTGATGCGTAGCTCCCGTATCGACCACCCAACATTCAGATTGCATGGAAGCTACATGAGCCCGTGGTTGATCACCTGTTGAAGAACTACTCTTTCATTTGGCACAACACTCACAACCATCATTAGTAGAAGAAATTGTAAAGTTGCTAGAGGAGGAATTAGTTTTGTAGTCAGGTTGAAACTGCCCTTGATTACCAGATGTAACACACGAGAAGTCCTTACCATACCTATGCCAGCATCGATCAACCAAGTGTCCAACTTTTCCACACAGTTGGCACTGAATCCTAGATCTGCCACGACCTCTACCACCAGCTCGATGATTAAAGGAATGGCAAAACCTCTTATTAGAATTGTTAGCTATCAGTGAAGTATTTCGTGCCTCGCCCTGTGCAACATTTGCACTCATAGGTAGGGAATCAAGTTGATCATCAAAGCTTGCTAGTTGCATTTCTGCATCAATTAGCATTGTAGAGATGTTGTCTAATGATAAGGTTTCCCTCATGGATGTGATGATTGACATGAAGGGTTGGTATTCTCGAGGAAGCCCTTTGAGAATGCTTGCAATCTGCTCAACTTGTGGGATAGAACTGCCACAAGACGCTAGAGCATCACATAACTCCTTCACTCGAGTGAGGTAAGTTCGCATACTGTCACCACCTTTCTTTAAAGATTGGAGTTTATAGTGAAGACTCATGAATGCAGTCGTTGATCGATTAGCAAAAAAAGTGGAGCATTGTATTCCAAACAACTACTGCTGTTTTAGCACCAACAAATTAGGGAAGAAGGTAGGGACTGATTTTGGATAGTAACCACGATGCAAAGGCACTATCTTGTCCCAAAAAGTCTTCATATTCATCATTGACACGAATCGTGCCATTGTCATCAAGCACAGTCTCTGGTGGAGTCACTGCCGCGCCTGTAAGCAACCGCTCCAACGCTCCAAGCGATGGCTTCTAATGGTAAGCAGAATATGCTGCTTCCACAAGAGGAAATTCATCTCGTCGAGCACCACATTTACTTTCTTGTGAGCAAATGCCTTTGAGTTCGTTGTAAACTCCATCAAGAGTTACTTACGCAACAAAAATCAATCATAGAGCCCCAAGATCAATGGCGATTGATACCATATTAGAAGGAGGATGAAGGTGATGAAAGAATTAAGAAAGGAATTCTTGAATTGATTAAAAAGTAATAAGGTTGTTTTATATACAGTTCAGCAGCTCATAACTACACTTAACCAGCTAACCAATCTTAAAAAACTAAAAGCTTCCTAACTTCCATTTAATAGCCTATGCCAACGTGGCATGGCATGAAACACTTGCTCGCTTACTCTGCTAATAATTATATCCATCCTAATATTTCCTTTTCTGTTTAAAAAGTTGATCAGTTTAATGCAGGAACCATATGAGGCACATTGGTTAGTTGTTAAGCGAATACTTCGATACTTGAAGGGTACCATGGATTTTGGTTTCTGGCTTGCTCCACAAAAAGAGAAGTCGAGTCTGGTGGGTTTTTCGGATGCAGATTGGAGAAGTGATTGTGATGATAGTAGGTCTGTGTTTGGTCAATGTGTCTTTTTAGGACAACACTCGTTATCATGGAGTTCCAGAAATTAGATATTTATGTCTCGATCTACTACTGAAGTTGAATATTGAAGTCTTGCTAATGCCACATCCGAGGTTGTTTGGGTTAGAACCATGCTGCAAGTTATGAATCTGTCTAGTGCTCAACTTCTTGTTGTCTGGTGTGAATATTATGAACTCCAGTTTCAGCTTGTCGATGTGTTCACCAAGCCTTTGTCTTCTGGTCGATTTCATGAGCTACCTCAAGGGTTGAAAGTTATTCATGTCTCACAATGGACTGGTTGAAGTATTATTGTTGTCTTGGTTTGGAGGTCTTGAGAAGTGGGGTGAATGTTAAGGGAGATGGTTTTCTGCTATGCTAGTTGGCATTATGTCAACCAATTCTGTTAATTGGTTTCTTTGGTTCTTTCCCAACTCATCATAATTAGGTTAAACTTTTTGTGTGTTGATCGGTTAGATGAGTATGGGCCATATTAAAAGGGCTTTAACTCTTAAGGCTAAGCGATCATCTTTAGGTACATTCTTCTTGTTTTTCCCTTTCTTTTGTTCTCACTGCAGTTTTTCCTCTTCCTCTAGGGTTTCTTGCTTTCTTTTCTTGCTGCGTTGGGGATGTGAAGCTTCTTGGTCTTATGCGCTTCTGTATCATTGTTTCTTAAGTTTGTCTCATGACTATTATCTTTTCTTTGTTCTGGTTGTGTTTAATTTTGTTCTTTGATATGGTTTACTTTGTTTTTCAATAGTCATGACGTACAACTGTCATGTCACCGTCTCGTTAAGCGGAGAAATGGTATTATTGCACTCAAAAGTAAAATTAGTGTTAAAATTGACAAAATTAAAAAGTTAGTGGTATAAACAAGTTAACACTTAAAGTTCGGTGGTATTTGATGTAGTTTACCCTTAATATTATTAATAATATTGTTTATTTTTAAACATTTATAAAATTTATAAATAAAATAAATAAAATTTATAAATAAATATTTACATTCATTCATATTTTAGAGTATTATTAGAAAAAATTGTAAGACATAAGCCGTTTACAATGTGCCACGTTACACTAGGCATTTATTAGTCAAGCTCATGGTAGATGAAAAGCCGATAACGTGGTAAATGTGCAGTCGTCAAATGATACAGCCTAATATTTATGATATAATTACAAATAATTTATATCTCAAATACTAAAAAATAACTTAAATATTATATAAAATTATATTTTTATATACTTAAAAAAATCTTTCAAAAAAATTATGGAAAATTTATCAAATTATGTAAAAAAAACATAAAATAAAATCATTTTTAATATAAATAAAAAATAAAACTCTAAATCGAATTAAAATAAATAATTAAATAATATAAATAACTATCGAAATCTAATTGATTTAGCGGAATGAGACACTAAATCTCTCAAATAAGGTAAGAGATTTGAATCCTGATGTTTATGAATGGAACAAACTAAATTAGGAAAATTACTTTTACTTCTGTAATATTCGATTTAAAATAACTGATTAATAAATTAGATATTAGGAGATGATTATTAAAAAAAGGTAAAGTACATAAATTGTCTCCGATTTTAGGATAGTGTTTTATTAAGTCCATTGGCTATTAAAAGTTAAAAAATGATTCTTTAACTATAAAGTGTTGTTTTGTTGAGTCTCATGACTATTAAAAGTTATAAAATGATCACTCGACAATTCATTATGTTACAAACTCGTCATTTTTCGTTAAAAATTTGACAGTGTTTGGATCTAAACTTTAACATGTTGTCTGTAATATGATAAAATTTTATCCTGAAATCTCAAAAGACTATCATATTTCAATCATTATGTTAACATTCAACTTAGATAATTGTCAATCTATTAATGGAATATAATGAATTAGGGAACATAATGAATAGTCAGGTGACCATTTTGTAACTTTTAATAGTCAAAGGACTTAACAAAGCAATCTGGGGATCATTTTATCACTTTTAACAGTCAAAGGACTTAATAAAATAGTATGCTATAGTAAAAGGACCATTTGTATACTTTACCCTAAAATACAACCACGGTTTAACTTTTTTTTTTACCATTGCTTCAATGTTGTTAACAGTTCTATTACACAATTAACGGAGCCGGGAAGAAAAAAATAAACAAGAAAATGGGGATTGCAGCAGCTGCTGCTACTCACAAATTGATGATTCTCGGCAAAACCCCCAAATTCTCCTTTAAAAACCCACAAATTCTCTTCGATAAAACCCTTATTTTTAATTCGCCGAACTCTCCGACTCATATCAATTCGTTGCTTTGCCTACGAGTCAACTCACTCCACTCAAAGTCCCCGCCCGTTCGCACCCATCACCCCATCCAAGAACTACTCCTCCTCCTTGCTTTTTTATTGACCCTTTTGTGTTTCCGTCTTTTGTCCAATGCCCTTTTGTCTGATTTTCCTCTTCGTTGGCAACACCTCATTGCTTTCTCTCATGAAGCTGAAGCTCGGACCAAATCTTATCCAAAACATCTATGGCGAGCCATCGTTGTTTATGAGGATCGTCGCTTCTTTAGGCATTTTGGGATCGATCCATTTGGGATTGGTCGAGCTGTTTTGTCGCTTTCGGCTCGTGGGGGTGGTAGCACCATAACTCAGCAGGTTAGTGTAGTTTTCTTAATTGAGTTTTTATGTACATGACATGTTTGATGGTTTTACCCAATTAAGTGCGTTTTTATTTTATTTTTATGTTTTAACTTTCAAATGGTGAGCATTGCTTCTTTGGATTCGTTTTTTGCCTTCTTTATTCATTTTGGATCTCGCTACATATGAATGGCGAAACACGCATTTGACTCTAAGTAAACTTTCTCCATCCTTTAAATATTTTACCCCTTAAAATATTTGACTCTAAGTATTTTGAAGTTGAAGTTTGAGTTTTAATACTAATTTGTTGCATTGGTAACAAGAGTTTCATTAATTATATAACTTATGAAGTGCACTAGTAAAAGTCAGGTTGATGATTTTGGAATAATGAAACTGCAAATTAGGGTAGACTGGAAAGGAATCATTAACCTAGCAGGTAGGGGTGAGCGTTGGATCATGTCAAGTTGAGTCAAAAGATTTTGATTTATTTGAGTTGACTAGTTTTTCGAGTCCATTCGAATTTATAAAATTCAAGTTGAGTCGAATTTTCGAGTTTTGCTCACCCTACTAGTAGGATTGTTGGTATGGGTTATTTTCTTTAATCAAAAGTTTGAGTTTTAGTATTAAGTTGTTGCTTTAGTAACAAGAGTTTCTTTAATCATATAGGTGTCATTAATTATGAAGAAAACTAGTCCATGTCAGGTTGATGATTTTGGCTGTATTTAATTCGCTTTGTGCAGATTATTTTCTTGAGTAGATATTAAGATCACATGATTTTGCCTCCGTCTCTTTTAATCCTTTTGAATTTTATGTTGTTGTTTTCTTTAATCATATAGTTGCATACACACTGCCAAATGTTGCTCTATAACACAAATGATGTTGCCTTTGCCCCCAAACTTTATAAAATTATTGGAATGTAGTATTCTTCGGATATATCAATCAGCTAATATGACATTACAGCTATTATGTAGAATGGAATTATATCCATTTATTTGTTTTTTTAGTGACATTTTGATTGTTGATATGAGGAGTTTTTTTTGCTTATCCTCTTGACTGCCTGTTGTTTCCCAAATCCAGTCCTTACATATCACCTGGTATTTTGGAACTTGACCATCTTCTACTTTGCAAATCCTGGAAAAGCTATTTAGTTCAACCAATACTTGGAGTTTTCCCTATAATATATCTTCTAATTGATTTGAGAAGCATCTGTTCTTTCAATTTTTGCCATGTGCGATGATTCTCTGCAACTCACATGGCAGCTTGTGAAGAACACTCTACTGAAAAATGAGCGCACATTCTCGAGAAAGATCTTGGAGACGGTGCTGGCTCTGGTATTGGAAAGGACAATGTCAAAGCAAAGAATATTAAGCTCTTACGTTTGTAAGGTCAATCACATTCTCATTTATTTTGATGATTGATGCCTTTTCTCTTTGATGCTCATGCATGTGATTTCTTCTTGGCCAACATTACAGATATACTGGGGACATGGTATTAATGGTATTGAATCAGCATCAAAATTCTATTTTAGGAAGCATCCATCTCTCCTGAGCTTGGCTGAGTCTGCGATGCTTACTGGACTTATACCAGCACCAGAGCTTAGATCACCACTCAGGGATCATACCAGGTTTTAAACTATCGTTTTTGTAATTATCTTAAATTCTCCATTTGTAAACCTTTTAACCCCATGAAAAACGAAAACGAAAGAACGACAAGCTTGAAGTTGACTTTTGACTTTATGATAGTGGCAAGACCTTCCAAGCCAGAGTTTTGAAAAGGATGGTGCAAGTAGGCTTTCTTGACATTGAGATGGCACTTTTGGCAGTGAGACAACCTCTTTATCTGCATCTTAGTAGGGAAGAGCATGCCAATGGACTTTCCGATGAGTTGGTACGACATATCTTCATGTTTTGCCGTTCTGTAATGATCATCAGTAGCAAATAAACAAAATCAATCAAAAGATCTTAATGTGAAAGTTTCAAGATGACACTGCAGTGATCTGAAATTGTCAACAGGTCCCTTATTTTTGGTTCTAGCTCATTCATTCACTCATGGATATTCATCTTAATACCTGCCACAATCAACCATGACAACATCTCACCATAAACATGAAGCAATCACAATTTAAATCATAGCCTATTTTATTCTCAGGGAGTTGGAGGGAAGAATAAGCAGAATGAAGAAGGAACAGAATCAACATGGAAAGGTACATGGGGTTGGGAAAGAGAAAGTAAAATACGGGAAGTATGTGAAGAGATGGAAAGATGGGCCATCAAGGTTCGACTCGGATGTACTTAAGGAAAAAAGCTTTGTTTGAAATGAAAAGCGGAGCACTTGTATTTATTCAAGATAACATTTGTTGGGTTAAGAGTTATTTTTAGGGAGGAGTAGCATTTCAGTTCTCTCACCGTTCTGAAGAAATAACAAGTTTAGGATCCGGTTCTCTTTCATTATTTCTCTACAGATTTGAATGGCATACTTATTGATAATTGTACCATTAAACCCATCGTATGTATGGGATATGATCATTGAATATGATTATTTATAATCTAGTAAACTAAGTACCTCTGTGGTTAAGGAATTGTTGTTATTCTTTTATATTCCGGGTTCGAGCAACATGTATTTAGAAGTGTTCGAGCGTTTAATGTCAATTGATTGAGAGTCTTTGAACAAATATTATTTTTGTATTCACCTCAAACTAAAAAAAATCTGTAATTTATATCTATATAATATATTATAATATATATATTGATAGGGAAGCGGTGGTGAGTTGATGAACGTTGCTCTTGTTGAAGAATCAAACCTAGAAAGCTCTAGACTCGATTAAGAACAAAGGGAACGAATAGGGGAAGGTGGCAGTAGCAAGTAGGGTTCTTAGAGTTTATTTTAAGTGTTGGAAACAAGGTAAGAAACAAGATTAAAACAAGATAGAGAAAAGATAAAGGAATTGCAAATAAAATAAGATAACCAAGAAATCAAAAGATCTCCCTTATGAAGGTGAACGGTAAATATGATTGATGGCGTGGATGGATATGTGGAAAATCGATGGATAATGTCCTATCGAGCCCTCCTAGTCGCAATGAAAAGGCAAACACGATAATATGACTCTAACCAACCCTCCTAGTCGTAATGAAAAGGCAAATTGGAGTGTGAAGATTAATCTCCCTCACAAGAACTTGAAAGAACTCCAGGAGAAGAAGCTTCGAAGGCACAAGGCAATCAACACTTGCAAAAATGAACTCTCGTTGTATTATTAATCAAAGAAATCTGATTTACAAAGTAGAATGAAGCCTCCTTTATATAGGGGCTGAGTTCTAAAGGTCCTAAATAACTAATGAATAAAATAATAATAAACTAAACATGTCTTAACTCTAATTCCTAATAAAATAATAATAACTAAAGATAATATTTTAACCCAACCTTAATTCCTAATAAAATAATAAATCTAATCCTAAAAGATAATGCATCATCCTATATTAAGTTATATTACAAATAATCAATATAAATATTGAAAATTCGTAATATTTACAAAATAACGTATTAATCCCGTATAGGATTTCCTGCATGCACCGTCTTCAGTAAAATGACCATATATTGAGTTCCCGATATCGGATTGATGCGATTCAAGAACCGTTGGAAAATAAGAGACAGACGGTTGTATCTCCAGAAGACATGTCGACCAAATAAGATCAGGATCCCATTCAAAAAGTCGTTGCAAGTCTGCTGCTGTTCTGATCTTCTTTTCCAAAGCTTGGACGAGTGGATCATTTGGAAGAGTTATTACTTCTTCCTTTGATGTGAACCTTGTGATGCATGTATCATCCTCCCTTTCTTCAAAAAGATTCGACCTCGAATCTGAAACATTAAAGGGAGCAACATTAGAATAGTTTAATAATTCATTCACATTATGCTTACCGAATAGATATGCTTTGAATCTTCGAGACTTTGTTCTTCTAATAGGTTCGAGTAGAAACATTAGTCCAAAGAAGCATGTATTATGGAATCTGGTGCATGTATCATATATATATATATATATATATATATATAAAGTATAATGTTAAAAGCGTTAATATTGAACATGTGTTTTTAAAATTAATTATTCAATTTCAATATTTCATTCTTCTGAAACTGATAAAAAATAATTAACTGAAAAAAAGAAAAAAAAACTATTCAGTCCTATTATCGTATTAAAATAATTCATTCTTATCTATTATCATTGAAATTGTTTTTTTACAGTAAAAGAGGATATTATATTAAATTTTTCATGATATCCAAAAAAACATCAAAGTTGTACAAAATCAAACAGCAAAAAACCCCTTTACACAACAAAACTCGAACCCACCCATCAACATGAAAAACAAAAAAATTCCCCACACAAAGTAAAGTTGTAAATTCACCCTATAAATTTTGTTAATATCATACCCCTGCAACCTAGCACAAACTGTCAGCCTAAAACCTTCAAAAACCTCATTAACAGATCGAGAGACTCTCCTAAAAACCTATGATTTCGCTCCTCCCAAATAAAATACAAAAAACTAGCCCAAGTCAATTTCAAAATACAAGCAATAAGAGACTTTCCTTTCAATGTCCAACTACCCAAGCAAAGCATCCTTCCAACATATCAATCTTCCAGGAAGGTCGCACACCCATAGAACCTTACTCCAAACCTGGCAAGCAAAAGAGCATTCACCAAAAAAGATGATCCCTATTATCCATTCCCACCTCACAGAGACCGTATAACACATTTGAGTCAATTCCCATTCAAATAAGCCTATCTTTAGTAGGCATCCTATTCAAGATAATCATCCAAGAAACAAAAAACAATTTTGGAATATGCAAAGGAAACCAAATAAGGTTCTCCCAAGAGACTTTGTCTTTTCTATCGCAGATTTTCTCCCAAATGCATCCTCCTACAACCTCACTCCAATCTAGCATATTAGCATACACGTTATTAGCCTCATTCCGAAGCTTAAGAACCTTATCTAAGATCCAGCTAAAATGAGACTTGCAACTCACAGTCCAAACCCCCTTTTCAAAACATATTCTCTAACCCAAGCCACCTAAAGAAAGCCTTCACTGGCTAGAAAAATCTTGATCTGAAGGAAACAACAAGCCCTATTCCAATAATCCAGACTCTTCAACCCTAATCCACCCTCAGACTTAAGCCCACAAACTTGCTACCAATTAACCCTAACACTCTTAGTTGGCATATAATCTCCTTTCCAGAAAAACTGAATACAAAGTTGCACAACCTGCTGAATAACACCCTTAGGCAAAATCAATTGCCTACACCAAAAACCCATAATACCATACAACATAGCCTTGATCAACTGTAGCCTACCACCATAGCTCAACTCCCACTTAGCCTACAAACCCAGTTTAACCTAATCTTATCAACCAATGGCAAAAAATCCTTCACAATCAACTTTCTAGTGACTAAAGGCACACCTAAGTACCAAACTGGAAACCTACCCAACATAAACCCAGTAACAGCAAGAACCCTTGCCAAAATACTTCCTGCATCCCACAGGAAATCGACTCAGATTTCCTTGCATTAAGTTGTAAACCAGACATCTCATAAAACGATTGCAAGACACTTACCACCCCCAACACTGAATCTTCAAACCCATGGTAGACGATGACCAAGTTATCAGCAAAGCTAAGATGCGTAAGAGAGACCCTTTTGCACTTAGGGTGAAACCGAAAAAGTCCTCCCTTAGCTGCAACACTCAACAGGTGAGGTAGAATGTTCATAACCATTACAAAGAGATAAGGCAACAAAGCATCACCTTGCCTTATCCCTCTCCCCCTTAAAGCACTCAACTAAACTACCATTAAAAGCAACTAATAAGTGAACACTGGTGACACAAATTCTAATCCACCCCCTCAAAACCTCAAGAATCCCCAAAGCAACCAAAACATTCATAAAAAAATTCCCAACTAACAAAATCAAAAGCCTTCCTTAAGTCAATCTTAAGAGCACAACTATGAGACAGGGAGTTCTGATAATAACCTTTAACAAGCTCTTGAGCAAGCAAAGTGTTATTAACAATACTACGTCATTTAACAAAGGCAAACTGATTAGGAAAAATCATACCAGGGAAGTAACTAGCCAACCTACTAGCTAGAATACTAGAAATGATTTTATACACCATCAACAACACGAGATAGGACGAAACTCCTTAGCCATACATGCATTAGGAACATTAGGCGCCAAAAAATAGACATAATTAAAACAGGAGTAAGAGAACCAGTATGAAAAAATTCCTTAACAACAACTAAGAAATCATTCTTCATTATATCCTAAGCCACCTTGAAAAACTAGGCAGTATACCCATCATGCCCTGGACTTTTCTCATCTCCTTGCTTAAACAAGGTTGATTTGACTTCCTCAGAAGATACCTTCCGCAATAAACCACTTTTAGCCCCCTAAGGCAACTCAAATCCCAACAACTCCTTAAGAAGCTCAATATAACAACCTCGAATGCCATCATCATCATCAAAAATTATCCAATCGAATACCATTCTCATAAAAAAAGCCTGATCGTGTTCTTTTTCCTCTTCCCCATCACAGTAGAGTGAAAGAACTTAGTACTCTTGTCTCCCTCAAAAATCCATTCCACATTCGCTTTCTGTTTGTAAAAAGAAGCCTCAGCCACCTCCAACTCCCTAAGCTCCTCCTTAACCATCATTTCCTCAACCAGATTCCTACTACCAGCACACGAGAGATTTAGTAATTGAACCTTCTTTAGCTAATCTCTCTTAGCTTTAACTCTCCCAAATATATCAACAATACCTCCTGTTAAAATCCTTAAGCCTTGGCTTAAGTCTTTTCAACTTAGCAAACAAGTGATATATAGCACAATCAACCACCTCACCATGCTAAGACTCTCTCACAACATCTTGAAACTCACCATGAGCAGTCCAACAATTGTAAAACATAAAAAATTTAGGCCGATCAACCTGATTATCCTTGCAAAACCAAACTACAAAAGGAAAATGATCAAACACCCCCTAGCCTTAAATTCAACAAACGAATCTGGAAAATCAACAAGCTACTGAGAATTAACCAAGACTATGTCCAACTTCGGAGCTTAAATTAGCTAAAAATGATCTCATACTCTCATGCAATACAACTTTTTTCTTATCAATCAGGCGTAAATATAAGGTAATATATGTTTAAATATATTTAATCATTTAATATTAAACGCTTATATCTTGACATACGTGATACTCTAACCTAAAATTAAAAAAATATATTTTTTACCACCAAAATCACTTTCTTCATATCTCGTGCAATACAATGTTGGATATGCAACCGAGATACTCAAATTCACACCACAAGGACTAATTACAAGGTAAAAACCATTCAACCAACTCGTGGGCTACAACATTTGCCTCTGGTAGCAAAAAATGAACATGAAAACTACTATTCTC